TATATGCAGGATAATTTTCATGAGCCATGAGCCTAATGGATGGCCTACACCTTACACAAGGAGAGGACCTCTTATCCTCTATGAATTGGAAAATTGTTGAATATGGGTCAAGGTGAAGATAAGGGAATATAATTGTAATTATACTACAGTATTCTTGGAAAATCCCCTGTACATAGGATGGGTCATACCTTTTCTTAATCTCCAAAGTGAAATAATCACTTTAAAATACCTTAGAAACCTCTTTTAGAGTTCACAGTGTACCCTGATAGTTCTAAGCTGTATGTCAAGGACATGCAACACATGAAAACCAGAATCCTTTCTTTCAGACACTCACAGCCTGTTGACAAACACAAACATCTAAATCAACAGTTAAAAATGCAGAAAAGTAAGAGTAAAGATTTGCAATCATGCTAAGACCTCCAGAAGAAAAACTTCTGTAAAGAGGAAAATTTAGAATGAAAAGCTGGGAATAACCACATAGTAAAAAAGAAGGAGGAGGTAAATGCTGCCAGAGATAATAGTATAATGACACAAAGAGTTAATAACAAAATATCTTCCAAAAAGTGAAAGTAGTTCGGGGTTTTTTGGAGTATAAAATCCCAATGGAATACCCAAGAAGATGGATCTGCAGACAACAGGTAGGGATTGTGCAATGAGAGGCTCAGATGTCTTGCTAAGGAAACCATAACTCATTCTGCAGGGGATGAGAAGCCAATGAAAATGGTAGTTCTAAAACCCCTTTGAGTCAAAGATTACTTTGAGAAAATGGTTAAAATGATTTCTCTCCAGAAAAGATCACAGACACCCAAAAGTCTTCATTCTATTTGTTGTGAATTATTTTGACTCCCTTAAAACCTATTCCTAGGCCTGGTAAGATTACTATGTTAAGGCCTCTTTCGCTAAAAGGTTTAAAGCATGAGAGAGTATTATGGTTGGATACATGTTTTGAACATTTTGGTAGTAATATGAAAATGGATTTTTGGAAGGCAAGTTTCTAAGTATGAGTATCTGTGATGCAACTACATGATAATGCAGTCAAATCAAGACAAGCCATCATATCATAGCATTAGTAAAAAAGAAGTGATGAATGTTAAGTGATAACTTGAGGAAGCACTATTAGCAAGACTGAAATGGATTAGCAATGTCCAGAGAAAGGTGAGGTGATAATGGAGAATAGGTTTGCTTTTGTACATATTGATTTTGAGGAATTTAAAGCATCCAAGTAAAATTTCCTGCAAGAATTTGGGTACATCAATCTTGAGCTGTGGGTTCAAAGAAAGAAGGGCCTTTAAAGGAGACTGAGGAGAGATATTTGTAGAATCACTCAGTTAGATAGGAGTGAGAGAGGCACCCAGAAAATAAGCAGTGATAACCTCAAGAATGAGTAGGTGTTCACACAAGTTTAAATAAAGATGAGGTCTAGAAAGTTTCTATTGAATGCCGCCATTAAGATGTCAGGTGTAAGCAGTTTTCCCAGAGTGGTTGAGGCATGAACCAAATTAAAACAGGTTGAGGAGGAAATGAAAACTGTGGAAGTAAAGGAATTGGTTGAAGAATATTTTAGAAGTTTAGCTCTAAGAAGAATGTGCAAGAAAAGGCAGCAATAGCTAGATGTTTTAGATAAGTATAGAAGCAATTCATTTGTTTGTGTGTGTGTTTGTGTGTGTACAAGACTAAAAGAGAAGTGAGCTTGTTTATATACCATGGGAAATGGGAATGCAGGTGAACAGAATGAGTAATGGTGGGGGGTTAAACAGACTGAGGACCAAGAGGGTCATGACACAACAGGATCTAAGCCATGAGCCTAATGGATGGCCTACACCTTACACAAGGAAAGGGCCTCTTACCCTCCGTGAATTGGAAAATTGTTGAATATGGGTGAAGGTGAAGATAATTATGAGACTGGAATTCGAGGGAAAGTTGAAGGCCCTTTTTTTCTGATTATGGAACTTTTCTGAGTGACATCGAAGAATGGTGATATTTTTGAAAAGACCTTGAAAAGATTGAAGGAAAGATAATCAAGAAATCTAAGTTTAAAGCTGAAACTCTTGGTTTGTACTCACCAATCTTAGAGGGTCATGATTTCCTTTGGTGTTGCTCAGCTACATACAAGTAGGGAAATGGTAGATTACTACAGAGTTGAGGGTCTACTTGGGCAGAAATGGCCCAAGGACAGAGTGCAAGGGAGTTGGGAAGAAAGTGAGGGTCTAGGTAGCTAGTGGGGATGGAAGGGAATCAGGAGAAAACTGGATACCCAGGGAGAAATGAAGGGAAATAAGTCTGTAGCTATTGAAGAGAAAGTGTCATAGAGAGTGAGAATGTGAAAGAACTCAAAGGAACTAAGTTTATTTTCAGAAATAAAATAAACTTATAATTTATTTATTTCTTTGTTGTGGAACTGTTCCAGTTGTCTGTCCTTGGGTTAGGGAAGGTGAAGAGAAGGGTAGATCTCCACATGAGCTATGGGTTTAGCAATGGGTTTAGCAAGGAGCTAAAGTTTAGCAAGAAAAGGAGCTATGGGTTTAGCAAGAAAATCTACACAAACACCAGAACATTCAGGATAATAGTGTGAGCCTGAGCAAAGTTTTTACAGACAAAGAGAAGAAAGGGTAATAAACACAATCCTGCTTTATCTGAGGTTGAGGGATTAGGCATCCTTTTTTGGAGGGGGAAAACTATATATATAATTTTTCTTGAGGTACTGGGTATTGAATCTATGTCCCCTTGCATGCTAAGCATGTGTTCTACTACAGAGTTACAACTCAACCCCAGTACTGGGATATTCTAGGAGGAGAAAAGAGTTTCGGGATGAGAAAGAGGAGCAGGAAGCATCCTTTGTAGGGGTTGAAAAATATAAAAGTGTTTGCTTAATGTGGAGGAGTGGTTTTATTTAAAGGATGGTAGAATGTGGAGGAGTGGTTTTAGAAAGTGAAGAGAAAATGTCTTGTGATAAAAAAAAATTTAAAACAAAAACAATTTAACTTTTTAAAAACTGTATTTCCTGGACTTGTCCATGCTACCCTTGTTTGCATACCACCTATTATCAACTTCTACCAGAAGTAATGCTGTGTGCAGTACAGTTTGGGGAACATTGGAAGAGCAAGGATTACAGTGTTCTGTAATCAGATTGCTGCCAAGTCATGGTAAACGCAGTTCTTGAGATATCTGGAGGGCAATGTTTGGACAACGATGAGCTGGCTTCAAGGCCACCCAATTTGTTGGGTTTTTGTTCATGGCCATTTGTCTTTTCAACTCAGATAGATTGAGAGTGCTTTGAAATCAGGGATAGTTATAATTTCTTTGCATCTCTATAATATTGGGCTCGTTCCTGAGCATGTCAATAAATGCTAAATAAATATTTTGTTCTACTGATGAGTGTGCAATGAGTCAAAAAGTTATGGCATAGTTTTTAATGTCTTGCTTCTTTCTGTCTTTCTTGGGGATTTATTTTCCCTTTAGGTTTTGAACGTAATGTTAAATACCCAGATATATTGGAGTTCTTGTGAATAATTAATAATAATTATTACTTCCACCTTTTAACAAGTCATGTACCTATATACTTTCTTTGATAATTTTGATAGGATGGTCCTGGACAAAGAGATTTAAGAAAAGAACATTTGATATTATTGATTATTGAAGTAGGTTTTCTAATTACTGGAAGAACATAAATAAATAGTATAGGGAAGGTTTGAGAACTATGTAGCTAATTCATGTACTTAAAAGTGGTATTTTTTCACAGTAAAATTTGAAAAACTAATTAAGGTATAATATACATACACAGCTAACCAAAATATGTTACAATTATCAGGAAATTGCCCTTGAGAATACTTTAATTACCTTATGCAAGACAGTAAATTTGGCTTTATGTATATAAAATAAAATGTAGTGTAAGTGTAATTCATACTGCTATGCACAGAATTTAATATCATGAAAATAAAAAAGAAAGTATAATTTACAATATTTATAATTACAAAAAAGTTAAATAGGGAAAGATATGCATATTTGCTTCCATTTGCAAAAGTCCACGGCAAATTGTTATTTTTTTATGGTATAAAAAAGTAAAGATATAAAATGGCTGAAAGTTATAGCTTTTGAGTCCAGTATAGTTGTAAATTATACTTCTGTTTTAATGAACTTTAATATTATATTTTATTCATTTACTAATGTTTTCCTATGAAAGACGTTTGTCATTAGCAAAGTACAAGAAAAAGTAAGGACACTGTTAGAAACTTCCAGTCTGAGCCTTTTGTTATACTGTCCTCCAACATCACCAGAACTGTGTTTATTTAGGACAGAGTTGCAAAACATGTTGCTGAGCTCCACCTTCCTTTGATAATGGAGTTTTAGAACATGATACTAATCAAGAGTTCAACCAGACATTGCCAGTCCACATTTCTCTCTTTAGAGATGTGGATACAGAGGAGTTCAGAATACATTGCCACAAAATTACCTACACAATCTTCCTCTCCTGAGGAAGACCCAGTGTCTATGAGAACCCTAGGCAGTCACTCATATCAGAAATCTTCATTCCCATTGCTGAGACTGGTCTTGACCCACAGGCCTGATATCTCAGGTTGGTTGATTTGGAGATCTGTGTTGACAAACCTTTGTGTAGTCATGAAAGCCCTACTGGACCCAGTAGTTAGGTAAGCACATTGGATTAAACTTTTGTTTTTCGTCTACTCAACCTCCCTTTGTAGTTTCAGGGAAAACATTTGCTTATAAATGTTTCTCTGTTCAGCCACAGAAGTGAAGTGGATTGAACCTAGATCCAACTTGCCAATTATATAAGAGGAAAGATAAAAAAAATCATTTCTTTAAAGCCTACAAAACCAAAACACTAAATTAAGATGGCTTGAATGAACTTTTATTTCTACTTTGAAGATTGAAGTCTAGATTTTTGGGTCTAGACGTTCACAGTCTTAATCCCCAGAGTGTGTGGTTTATATTTTACAATTTAATATTATTAGAGGTTTCAATCACCATTTTTAATTATTTAGGCTTCAAGGAGACAATCTGGCTGAAAGGACTGAAGAGACGTTACAATTGCTTCATTCTCCAGATGAAATAATCCCAGATTCATTGGGTAAGTTTTGAATTCTACAATATTTATTGTAGCTTTAGTGGCATGTAATGATTAGAAGAAAGAAGGAAGGAAGGAAGGAAGGAAGGGAGGGAGGGAGGGAGGGAAAGAAAAGAAAAGAAAAGAAAAGAAAAGATTTTCCCCTGCGCCAAATCTCAGCCCTGTGGATCACCTGTCCACCACCAGCACAGTCCTTTGAGCTGTGTATCAGAAGTTAAGGGCAGAGGACAAATAGAAGCAGGAAATGTGTGTTCTGAGGAACAACAAGGAGTTGTTGGTTACTCCCCAAATTGTCACCAATTCTAACTTGTGTTAGAACTCTACTTTTCCTGCTGGCTCTATAGAAAATAGAACTCATTATCTGCCCCTTGACTTATCTCCTACTCCCGTTCTCACACCATCCATCCGATATTCAGTCTTCTTGGGGAGAATGTCAGTATCAGACCTGAAAATATCATATGCTTTCTCTCTCAGTTCTGTGTTAAATTAGTGTTCAATTATGTCAATGTCACTTTGGAATTTCCTTCCTGAGCCAGGCTCCTCTCCACTTTTCCGGATAGTGGCTGGTGTACATTTTCCTTCTCTTTCTTCACCTAGTGTAGAAACCTTCTTTGCCCTCCTTGAACTATCTCATCCCTCCTTGATTCATTTACTTTCTAAAAATAAAGCTGCTTAGTCTGCACTCATTTTACATAGAACAGAATTCAAACTCTATACTTTAGCATATGAAGTTAATGTCAGAGCATTTCAAAATGTTTGCTGAATAAGTGAATAAGTACATGTACTACTGCTCCAATGCCATCTAAGACACATCACCTCTTCCTTAGCCATTGTTCTAGAAAGACAGTATGTCCAGTAAAGATAGAAGAGAAACTATAGAATATTTCCTTATACCTGGATAGAGAAAGGTATTTTAAATAAGACATAAGAATTTTAAATCTTAAAATATATAACAAAACAATAGTACGATGTACATTTTAAAACAATAGAAGAAAGGATTTTGGATGTTTTCACCATTAAAAAATGATGAATTAAGAGACAGTTATGTTTAACCTGTTTCAACATGACATATTGTATGCATGTATTGAAATACCCTTGGCATTCCATTAATATGTATAATTTTTATGCTTTTATTTATCAGTAACAAGTATATTTAATTTAAATAAAAAATGAGCTAAATATTTTTAAAACAGAAGAAAATAAAAAATTTAACTATGAAAATTAAGAACTGCTGTTCATCAAAAGATGCCAGAAGAAAAGCCATAAAATGGGAAGATATATTTGCAATGTGTTTGTCATTGACCAAAGATTAATATTCAGAATATGAAGAACACCCACAATTTAATAATAAAGATCAACAAATCCATATAAAAATAAGCAACAGACATAAAAAGACATTTCACAGAAGAGAAAATACAAATGGCCAATGAACATATGAAATATACATCACTACCCTACTAAGCAGGGAAATTAAGATCATGTTGAGATATTGTTTTATAACCATTTTTGGCATTGGTTAAGAAAGTTGGTAAAACCAAGTACTGGTGAATACAGAGCTGAGAGGAAAACAATATATCCCAGATGGAGTATAAACAGTTTTGAAAATGTTTTTCCATTATCTTAAAATCTTGAGCATTCATAAAAGCTAAAACCCAGAAGCTCTATTTCTAGAAAAATATCTTAGAGAATCAAGCCCTGACCCATGAACAAGTCTCATTGGTATGTTCTTCCCTCTCTGCCTGTTCTGATTCTGTGCTCTAAGGTTATCCTAAGTGTCCCTGATGTCTTGCCCACACCATTTTTTTTACCCCCTCAGGCCTAACCATCTTTTAATTGCTTCATATGTATTTGTTGTTCTCACATGCTTATTGAGGATTTTTTTGTGTACCCCAGCATTCCCAATATAAAACTAATATGAGACCCTTTTCTTATAATATGTTGAGATAACTCTCTATGAGGCATAGTGAGGTCCTGCCCTGAATCCAATTTTGAAGACTCTTGTGTCCAAATTGCAAGTCTGTGAAACAGATTCACATTGAGTGAAGAACAGATTCTTTGTGATGGAAATACACCAAGGTAAATTGCTTAAAAAAAAAAAAAACTAATATGAGACAGATCCTGGTTAACAATTTGACCACTAATTGTTTAAATTCTATAAAAACCACTCTAAGTGATCAATCTATATAGATCTATATATCCTTTAGCAACTATATACACATAATCATTGAGCTCTGTAGGGACTTAAATATCTGGAGATATTAAGTAATACAGATAATAACATGTTTTTATTTTTGTAAATATTTTTCTTTCTTTCTTTTTTTTTCAGAACTGGGAATTGAATTCAGGGCCTTGCACATGTTAGCAAGTGCTCATTTTAGGAAGCTTGAGCTTTACTTCCATCCCTTTTTAAATTTTGAGACAAGATTTCACTAAGTTGCTTTGTCTGACCTCAAATTTATGATCTTCCTGCTTCAGCCTCTCTAGCAGCTGGGATTACAGATGTGGGCCATTGTGCTGACCAGTAATAGGTTTGTGTTTAAGCCTACTTGAATGCAGTGGAAAAAAAATCAAACATTAAATTTAAGCTCCTTTCTTGAAATGCTAAACTCCTACATTCTCTGCACTCAAATATTAGTATACCCGATGAACACATGCCAAAATAAAAGTTCCTGTTTTAGTGTACATCCTTTTGAAAATTCCTTTAGTCAAATACTAAATCCCATAGTTGAATATTATTGGATTAGCCAAAAGTTGTCATGTGACTTTTATATCAACTGTGCATCCACCTTGAACCTGCTCAATGTGTGTAAGTATTTTTATGAAAAAATGTAATTTGTGCACAAAACACCTTGTGACACAAGCAGAAATAATAAAAATATGACAGGAAATAATGGAATGAAACTCAACATTGTGATAAACTTTATAGATTTCTTCTATGTTCCTATTAGTATGCTCAGTCAACGGAGACAAAATTTCTAGTCCAAATGCTAATAGAGATTGTTAGTTTTTGAGAAAAGTTTTCTCTGCATCAGTTTCTCCTCTCCATGTCTTATTTTGTTCTTCTCTTAAATCAGGGGTGAAAATCAACTCTGCAATATTTGACAAATTTAGTGACTAACTTTCCATCAACTTCTATGTGACTTAAAATAACTCTAATAATTAACCCCCTCTATTTTGAAAATCATGAGTTCTTATAAGATGAATTGCTCTGGAATAGCAAAATTGTTTACACATTTGAATGCACCAATTTTTGTTAATAAGCAACAACTTCAGAACTCTTAAGGAAAAATGTTCACCCCCTAAGCATTATAAATAAAAGGTTTCATGGTGGGTGTGGTGGTGCATGGTTGTAGTCACAGTGATTCAGGAGGCCAAGGCAGGAGGATCCCAAGTCTGAGGCCTACCTAAGCAATTAGTGACAGCCTGCCTCCATGACTTAGTGAGATCCTGTCTCAAAATAAGAAATATAGGACTGATGGTATAGCTCAGTGGTTAAGTACTTCTGGGTTCAATCCCCAGTACCATTCATTCACTCAATCAATTAAATAAAATGCTTTATTTTCATGATGTCTATTTGCCTTAACTTGCTTGTTAGATTGGTATCCTATCATAAGATTTGGTCTATATGGCAGAACTCATTTAACTTAATAGCTTCTGATAGGGTCACATTTGTAAATTCTCAAATATTCTGGCAGCTCTTCACAGTTATCCCTTTCCCCTAAGTTCAATGTCCTTTACCCAGATCATACCAGCTACAGCATGAAACAGGAAGAATTCAACCCAAACAAGAATAGAGTGTAAGACCATGAAAATTTACCAATAACTTCTGGTAAATATTCTTTGTTAAAATATCAATACTGTAAATGTGTTCAAGTGAATTCTATGAGAATTATAGAAAATTATCTTATTTCAATATGTTTGAAAGGGCTTACTAAAGTGCCTGACATATAATATTTGCTGGATAAATGACTACACAGAATCCCCATAAATAATTGAATGAATGGATTAATACACACATATATAATGAAGCTCTAAAACCATTACCTACCTACTGAGAGGAACATTGAGAGTATTTCTAAGTTTTTAAAAAATCAGCAAAACCCCAAAGAGGATGGTTTTCCTTGCCCTATATTCAAAAATAGTTTTGTGATATAGAATAGAACAATTTGATATTATTTTAAAATCAATATTCTAGTCAAGAATTTCAACACATAAAACAAACCTAAAGTTACACCAGCATTTGTTCACAGTTCTGAAGAATGTAATTTAGCCTTAGGGAATTTAAATTATTCCTAATTTACATCCTAATTTAAAGAGTCTATTGTCACCCTTACAACTTGGTTTTAGTAGATGGGAGTTCAAGTGTTCTTTTCAAGTGGATTATGATTTTTGAATTTAGTGTAAGTCTCATTATCTGTCTTGATTTTATCTTCTTTAAATTAGCTTCTTTTTAATGCCAATGTTCTGTTTAGAAGAGTAGTAGATAAAATTTTTACTCTACAACTTGAGAAAGTATCTGCTTCTCCCAAAGTGAGTTTTATAAGGAGGGCTTTCTGTGTTCTAAAATGAACTCTACTTTTATATCTAGATAAACTCTATGCTATGAGATTAGCAACCTTTCTTCCTGAATATAAAATTCTGAATTATCAGAGATAAAGAGAGCTACGGGATTTAAAAGCTATGATTATGGATTTGTGCCAAGTTTCCTTTTGTCTCTCTTCTCCTTGGTGGCCATTAAGGGCTAGAAGGATTTCATGCTTTGAATTTCTTCCCAGAGTACAAATTTTATGCAATCAAAAAATGTCTTCATTTTTACATTAATCTAAAGGAAAATCTTTTTGATTCAAAAGGCTGTCTTTCAATATTACTAAATATACGAAATCATTTTTTAAAATTCACTGGTTTAAAATACCTTCCCCTAAAGGGATTTTATTGTTGTTGCTTTAATAGAAGGAGTTAATATTTTACAAAGGGAAGTTGACAGTATCTGGTGTAGATTATTTATAGATATAAATAATCCATATATCCATCCTTACTGCAAAATTCTTTATAACCCACAGAAACTCATGCTGCTATAATTTAACTCAGCAGACATATGGAACAGCTTGCCAAGATTTTATTCACATATTCGAATATAACTATTCTCCCACTCCTCTATTTAGGCTAAATAATCACAACCTCTTGCTTAATATATTAAAGTAGAAAACCTACCACCACTTAAAAACATGTACTCTTCTGTGGATTCTTCACAAATTTTCATTCTATTTAACAAAGAGAACACAAATTGATACTTAAATTATGTAGCCTTGAAAGAAGACAGTTACTTAATGAATAAAACCAACAAGGAAATATAAAATTACAAAGCAGAAAAAGAACATTAAATATAAATATATTCCAACAACTAGCTGAATAATATGCCATAAAAAGTGTTGCTTCATTTGCATAATAAGCTGCAGTTCTTGTACTTTTCTGATTTTATTGCACCTTCTAAATTAAAAATACTTTCATAAATTATCTTTAAGCTAAATAAATATCATTCTGACTTTATTTTAATTCACAGACACTGATTTTTCAACAATCAGTGCAATCATTTTAATGTTATTTTCACTAACAGGTTTATATATCAGAGAACTAGTAAGCAATTTGTGACTTTAATTTATTCATTTAAAAAAATTAAAATAGATTCTTTACCTGGGACTGAAGAAGCACTGATGGAGGAGGGTGAAGAATTTGAGAAAGCATCTAAATTAACAGGAACTGTAAGTATATTCATTTACTTATTTTAATCCTCCAATCTAATGTCTATTATGGGAAAAACCTAAAAGGAAAGTAACATTCTTGAAATTAAAGAATATTTTTAAATGTGTATGCAGCATTCTCTATACAGTCAACAGAAAACTTGTATCAGTAGATGGTCCACTCTTTTTTTAAAAAAAAATATACAGCAAGGCTGCAATCAGCTCTTTTAGCAATTGCAGACGTCTTGACAGAGAAGGGAAGAACTAAGTTCTGGTGTGTTTGGCTGCTTACTTATGCATGTGGATATTCTAAGGGGCTATGTGCTGCCATCTTAAACCTCAATAAGCAACTACATGTATCTTAATAGAAAAAAAAAAGTTTTGCATATCCTGAAAATTTATATATTACTTAAGCATGCTATTTTAGTTATGAAGTCCTTGTGGTATTTTTATTAATCTCTTTATAAGTGTATAGTGGAAGTAAACCCATTAGGTTTAAGATTTTTAATAAAAGTGAAGGTTAAAAAATACATACAGAAAAACAAATCTCTGTATGAATTCTAAATATAAAGTCAAGTAAAGATTGTGAGTTGTGATAAAACTCAGGCTAATGCAATCTTTCATGATCTTAAATACAGTATTTAGACAGTGTGAAGGTAATACTTCCATGTTCTCTGTATTATTTTGCTTGGGTTGCCATAATAAAGTGTACGAACTGGGAGCTTAAACAATGGAAATTTATTTTCTCACAACTCTGGGAGCAGAAGTGCCGCAGTCTGGCTGGGCACAAATAACTGAGCCGCCACGAAGCACTTGTAGGTTCAAAACAGCAACTCTTTATTGCCAAACTCCACCAGCACTCCACACACGCTCCCAGAGCCGCCCTATTGCCGGACAGTAAAGGTCAAATATACAATTGAATACACAGCTTAACATAACCATCATCATCTCAATGCCTCGCTGGCGGTCACCTCTCAACCCCTCCCTTCTGGCAATATGACATGCATCATCCTGACTCAGCTGTGGCCCTCAACATCTTCCCCCTTCTATTTAATTAAACAGCAAGCATGTGGCTTAGGGACCATGCCTGTCTTAAGTTGTCCTGTAAGGGTAAAAGAAATTGAAGTTAAAGCGTAAAAGTTAAAGGGTAAAAGACCCGGTGTTGTAAAAGTTTCTAAGCTGCAAGGTCTGAGTTAAAATGTAAAGGAGGTATTGTTAGGTTTCTATGCTACCTGCAAAACCTGAAATCTCTGTAGCTGTTAAGACAATGCTTAGAACCGCCCAGTAAACATTTCCCCTGACTGTTTGGTTGTTTAATAACTGAAGGGCTCTGTGTAACTGGTCACATAGTCCTTTAGGCCCTAAAACCAATCAGTTTGAATGTGTACCCTGTTTAGAAATGACCTATCACTCCAGCCTGACCTGTTCCCGCCAATGAATGAACTAATCATGTTTAGGAATTGTTGCTTAATTTTCCCGTGGTGTATAATGATTTGTTAAAGGAGACTGGGATGTATGTAAAATCCGCGCCCTCCCAAAAAAAGTGTACTTAAGCAGTGCTCAGCCCCTGCTCTGGACTCTGGGATGCTTTCCCTTCTTGAGTGGGCATGGAGCCCCAGCATGCTGGTTCAATAAATCCCCTTCTGCCAATTGCATGAGTGGTCACTTGGTGGTCTCTTTCTCCGACGCTTCGCCTGACCCTTACAGTCCAATACTACATATGGTCCTTACCCGTCATCGGATGAGCTGACCTCAAAGCGTCAGCCTCCTGTCTTAGGTTGGTACCATTGCAATTGGATCTTACCTGTCATTGACTTGTAAGGGTCCGCCGAAGCGTCGGAGAAAGAGACCACCAAGTGACCACTCATGCAATTGGCAGAAGGGGATTTATTGATCTAGCATGCTAGGGCTCCGTGCCCACTCAAGAAGGGAGAACAGCCCAGAGCCCAGAGCAGGGGTTGTGCAATGCTTAAGTACACTTTTTGGGGAGGGCGGGACTTTACATACATCACAGTCTCCTTTAACAAATCATCATACACCGAGGGAAAGTCAAACAACAATTCTTAGACTTGATTAGTACATACATTGGCAGGAACAGGTCAGGGTGGAGTGATAGGTCATTCCTAAGGAGGGGGTTACATTCAAACTGATTGGTTTGGGCCTTGAATGCCTACGTGACAAGCTGCACAGGATCTTGAATGCTATAAATCAACTAAATGACCAGTAGGGCATTGTCTTAACTGCCTCAGTAATTTAACCCATGCTTTGCAGTTTAGAAGCAGGTTTACAATGCCTGGTCCTTTACATTTTAACTCAGGCTTTGCAGCTTAGAAACTTTACAATGCCCGGTCTTTTACCCTTTAACTTTTACACTTTAACTTCAATTTCTTTTACCCTTACAGATTAACGGTCCAGCATACAGCCATACTTGTGGATAGGCCTTTGCACCAGTGGGGGGGTGAGGTTCTTTGCCTCACCTCTGTTGGCCCCCAAATTTGGCCTTGGTGCCAGTGGGGGGTGAGGTTCTTTGCCTCACCTCTGTTGGCCCCCAAATTTGGCCTTCAACAAGAAGTCTGAGATAAGGTGTGGCCAGGTACATTCATTCTTCTGAGGCCTCTTCCTTTGTCCTGTGGATGGCAGAGAATTTCCTGTGTCCTGTGTCTCCCCACCTTCTTCCCTGTGTGCATGCCTCTGTCCTAATCTCTTCTTATCACCAGTAATATTGGTTTTGAGCCCACTCTATTAACCATATTTATCTTAATTACTTCTCTAAAGAGCCTATCTTCAAACATTCTGAGATACTGAACTAGGACTTCAACATATAAATTTTAGGGGTACACAATTAGGCCCCTAACACTCTATGATGAAATTACATTATTTAAATAATATGAATAATATGCCATAAATAGTATGGCATATTAGGAAACCTTTTACCATAAGGGCAAGAATTTTTGTCCATTTTTTCCCACCTGCTTATGATGATAAATGCACCTTGTGATAATCTGTCATTCGTTGTGCTTTGCAAAGGTTTTTTTGGTTGTTTTATTATCTGTGAATACCACCAAAGTCCTTATTCCTCTCTCATGTCTGAATAGATAGTATTAAAGTCTTTTCATAATCACTTCCTCCAATCAACTGATATCCTGTCCATAGAATTTGTCTTGCTTAATGATACCTAGTACTCCAAGGAGGGTGGGAATCAGCTTTATTTGATCAAATCATGGCTTTCTTTCCACTGTGCTTACATAGTGTTTTTCCCGTGCAAAAATTTGTGGTAGGTCAATTTTATTTGTTTTCATTCATCATTTATTAGGTTTTGTATTCTTAGAAATTCTTCAATTCCTTTAATGTTAAATTACCCATTTAAATACTTTTTGGCACTAAATGGTTAAAAATAATTCATGGATAAATGAATATGAGGTCCTTGAACAAAGCAATTTCTGGATAGCAGCTACTTTTATTATGGGGAAAAATATAGATTGAAATATTTATTATTTAGAATATTGTTATTTTAGGTGAAAATTCCCTAAAAATACATCTGTATTATTTTTGGTATAGTGTTTTTAATAAATCAAGAAGAAATTTGTGACTTTATCTAAATATTAATGAAGAATTGGAACAAAATAGATTTTTTTCTTTATTACTATAGAAAATAAGAAAATACTTCAAAGCAAATGTTGAGTCATATCCTGCAAAATATAAACATACCACAATACTGAAAACCATTTAGAGTATTTTCAACACATGCTTTCTCTATTTGCTAACTTACCCTATTGGGTATTGTGTATTATTAAATAAGCAACAGACCTTTGAAAACTATTTTCTCTAGTGGCTTAATCTGTGCTTTGAATATTTTTTGAATATTTTATGAATATTTTAGTGAGGTAAAGGCAATGTTTTGATTTAAATTTTTATCCTCCCCAAACAAGCGAGTCATTCTTCTAGAATTTCCCCCTTTACCTCCTCTGTCTTCTGGAAGAACGCCTCTTAGCATATATCCAACCTATCAAGATTAAAGCTAGATTTATCAGGCAAATACATTTCTTAAAAATGAGACAACCAAAAGGAAATATTAAAAAGAAAATTCCAAGCAGCAGGTATTAATCACAATCATTTGTATTATTAAAAATTCAATAGACAATTGCTTTAGACCCTTATGATTGTTGAAGATTTAATACAAAAAAAATGTTTTTTTAAAAAAATTCACAATTCTAATGATTTTCTTAATCTTAAAATTCTATTTTGTTTTCAAGGTAGTAAATAAACATGAATATGAAGGGAAGATGAAAAAGAGAAAAGACATTTGACATTAATATTTTGTTGACTTTCTCCTTTTTAAATTATTTATTGCATTCCTTGTTCATAATGAGTAGCTTGTCAAAAGCTGAATCCCATAAGACTGTGTCATTGGTCACCATTTCTTACTTAAAGTAGAAGAAAAATTAAGAGAGATTCCTGTAGGGAAAGGTTTCCTAAAATGCCCAGCAATTACGTTTTTAGTACATTTTCTTTTTGAAAGTTTTTATCTATTTAGGGATATATGTAAAATTAACTAGAGTGACAATGGTAGTAGTAATGATATCAAGTATTTGTGTAGCACTTTTAAACTATTAAGCTCTTCACCATCAGTCATGTCTGATTTTTGCAATTCTGTGATTTATCATGTTATTTTTGACGATCCTTTTGTGAAGTAATTAGCACTTAGTTAAAAAAACTATTTATTTATTTATATTAATTTTTTATTTATACATGACAGCAGAATGCATTACAATTCTTATTACACGTGTAGAGCACAATTTTTCATATCTCTGATTGTATATAAAGTATATTCACACCAATTTGTTTCTTCATACATGTACTTTGGATAATAATGATCATCATGTTCCACCATCATTTCTGACTCCATGCCCTCACTTCCCCTCCCACCCCTCTGCCCTATCTCACCCTTATCTGCCTAATAAAGTTCGTCTGTTCCTCCCATGCTTCCTCTCCTTATCACACTATGAATCAGCCTCCTTATA